GCTAGATCATAATAGACTTATTAAAGCAAAAGGAAAATTGTTTGCTAGTCAGATTTAAGAGAGATAGCATATCAATGTTTACAATAAAAAGTATAATTTATATCTAAACATTAGTATGAATGGATGAATTTATTTTATTTTAACCAGAATTTCACAAACTTGTTACAAGTATATCCAGTAAGTTCTATAATAAGGTGAACTGATTCTTTCCCATGATGTCCATATACAAATTTTTGCATACCATGATTTTTCAGACATAATTGTTAAGAAGATTATTTTGGTTTATCTAGAAAAAATACCATGTCATCCCAGGTAGAGTTAGAGACCAGTGGCTCATGCCTGTAAATTTAGCTACTCAGAAGTCAGAGAAATGGAGGATGACCATCTTAGCCATCCTGGGGAAGAACAGTCTGAGACACTTTCTATACAAAATAATAAACCATCAGGACTGGAGGCATGGCTCAAGTGGTAAAGAATCAAAGGAGCAAGCACAGAACCCTGTATTCAAACTCTGGTACCAGCAAAAGTTAAGAGGCTCTGATTCAGAGATGCAAGACTGACATCATGAAGCTATAGGGAAGGACAGGATGCTGTGCTGTTGACTTTAAAAACAGAAGAAACCAGAGACCAAGGGGCATAGGTTGCTTCTACAAAGTGGACCAGTAGACCCTATAAAAGGAAATGGGATTCTACTACATTGTGAGCCATGGAGACCTTTTAGCTCTTAGATCCTTTAGAACTATAAGGTAACTAATTTCTGTTGTTTTAAGTCAGTGAATCTGAGTTAATTTATTAGTCAGAAACAGGAAAATACGAACATTATGACCTAGGACTCAGGGAAAAATTAGTTTGTAGAATGTGTGTGTGTGTGTGTGTGTGTGTGTGTGTGTGTGTGTGTGTGTGTGTGTGTACTGGTCCTTGGGTTCTAATTCAGAGTCTGGGCTCTGTCCCAGAGTTTTTGCTCCAGTCCAGCATTCTACCACTTAAGCCACACCTCTACTTCTGGCTTTTTGTAATTCATTCGAGATTCTAATCTCACCTACTTTCCTGCCCAGGCTGGCTTTGAGCCACAATTCTTATATATCAGCCTCCTGATTGAACAGGACTACAGGCTTGAGTCAACTGTGTCTGGCTGAGATGACAATTCTTATCATACAAAAATAACTTCACATTAGTGTTTCATTGTAGTGATGTTTGCCTTTTTGCTCTGTGTGTGTGTGTGTGTGTGTGTGTGTGTGTGTGTGTGTGTGTGGGCGCGCGCTCTGTGTGCTAGTACTGAGGATTGAATTCAAAGCCTGGGTACTGTCCCTAAGCTTTTGTGCTCAAGGCTAGCTTTCTAGTCTTTTTGAACATAGCTTCATTTCTGGCATTTTGTTGTTGTTGTTGTTCCATGGACAGAAAAGAATCTCACAGACTTTCATGCCCAGGATGGCTTTGAACCTTGATCCTCAGAACACAGCTTCTTGAATAGCCAGGTTTACATTGTCCACCAGAGATAATAAGCTTTAAAAATAAAATTAAATAAAATCATAATGTAATTCAAATGCATGACAGCTTTTGCCTATGTTATCTTTTATAGTTGATTTTTTTTTTTTTTTTTTTAGTTTCGGGTTTACACTTGGTTTCAGAATCATTTTCTTTCTTTTTTTTTTTTTTAATTTAATTTAATTTTATTTGTGAACATATTGTACAGAGGGGTTACAATTACATGGGCCCAGAATCATTTTCAATTAAGTTGATATGATATAAAACTCAATTCAATTTTCACTTTTCTCAAGTACTTATGTTTCAGACCCATTTCTAGAAAATACTCTTTAAAGGAATGAACTCTGGATTTATCTCAGAAGCCCAGGGTCCGGTTTACAGATGAAGGGTTTTTTTTAACTTTTATTTACATTTTGTTAGTTTATTTTCTCATCTTCACACTAATAACACACATTACATTTGTGTGTTATTAGGTTTTCACAGTTCATAATGTGTGTTACTATGTTTTCATACTTTTTCTAGTTAATCTCTTAAGAATTTCAACATTTTGATGCATTGTAAAACATTTTTAGTTTCAACACCTACTGATTGACAAGAAATAGACAATCAAATAATTTAATATATATATTGAATTTACAACTTTCAAATATGCTAAATTCGATTAAAATTTGTGGTAACTCTTTATAGATTATAATAGACTATCAGTAAATATAGTATTACTCCTTTTCCAATTAGCTAACAATTTTCATTTGCCTGATTTCTCTTCTTGCTGATTTTTTATTTTTATTATACTGAATACAATAATTTGGAAGTAAATGTAAAAAAGCAAAAAAAATGAAAATTCATACCCTCCTGTTTTTCTTAGAAGACATCTCTATTTAACGATTTCTATAAGATATAATTCTGAACCCATAGGATGCCTTGCACCTCATTAGATATAGTGCATTACCCTATTTTCTACATCTAATTGTTTTTAATAATTGGTCTCCATTCTGGTGGCATGTCTTCTGAATTACATGTATCTTCTTTGTGATGCTTCAGAGAATGGGTTTAGAGTTTATGATATTGCTTTTATGATTTTGTTTAGATATTATGAGGTATGTGCCAAGGCAGTAATAACAAGTAAATGGAAACAAATTTGGAGAAACTTAAGTAGAATTAAATTAGGACTCCTCACGGTCTGAATGGGAGGGTCAGCACTCACAGAGTCTGGGATGCAGGCCTTGTCTTCCCTGCAGAGAACACTTGAGTCTAGACTATTAAGAACTTTCCCCCTAATCCCCAAATGTATATTAAAAGAAAGAACTGAATCAACAATTTCAAAGAAATCTTCATGCCAGAACAAAGATTAAGGTTATTTATAATAGTAGAGTGGTCATTATGTCCCATACACATACATACAGACATACACACCCATACACAGAGGCATGAACATACATACTCATACACAGTCATACATGGATTAGTTAAAATAAAGCCATTTTGTACAACTGATTTATGTCAATGGAAAAGCTTATAAAGGATATTACATAAGTAGAATATTATGTAGAATATTAAGGATAAAACGAAAATGCTGGTCAGAATTAGAAAACTAAACCTTTTATATAAACCAATTAAGAATTGATCTGATGTTAGGAGAAGCACAAAAAATGTAAATAGTTGCAATTGCATTTTTCCACATTAAGTTTTCCTCAGGTATCAGTTTTTATGATGATATTATATCTTATTTCTCATAACTTTACTTAAGGATTTTATTTCCAAGTTCCTTCTATTATGACCAGACCTTGGAACATACTATAGCATTTTCCTCTCCACTAACTTATTCAAATGCATCAAAGGGGACAGTTTACTAATATTCCATTGAGTACAAGTTACATACTTACAATGCACCTATGTAAAATATAAAATATAGGTTTCGTAGTATATCCACAAATAGTATAGAATCATTGCTACCTAATTTCACATATCTACCCAACTCCCTGCTAAAAAAATAAAGGAAAATCAACCTGGTCCTTAAATCTCAGTCCTTTCTCCAAACCCTAACTTTTATTAGTATACTTTCTATGTCCATATGATTGCCTATAATGATATTATATGTAAACCCAATTACAACACTTTTAACTTGCTTCATTCACTATTGAAAAATTTTAAGCAGAAGTTCTCAGAAACTTTTGCATTTCACATATGCACAATGATGCAGTATTAAATTTACACATTAACTTCAGAGAAAATTACAACTCTGGGAAGAATTGGTCTTTAAAACAAGGGATTTCCAAACTCTGAACATTGTTTTATTTTCATGTTATTTCAAAAATTTCCAAAATGGAAAAAAGTTATATATTTTAATCATTAGAAATTCTGCTTGTACATGCCTAAGTCTCATTCAGCTTCTACCTTCTCCCAAAGCCAATATCCGCTAGTCCTGTCTTCTTTATTTCTTAAAACTTTCCTCCTACAAATACTTGTGGGCCCTTTACTTTTCTCAGTCAAGTGTGGTACTTAGTTCTTAGGTTCTCAGTTTCCCAAGAGATTCCCACTTGCATTAGTTGTTTGCCTTCTAACTGTTACTCATAAAACTTATCTTGATTAATGAAAAGATGGAAGCCCAGGAGACAGATATCCAAAGATGAGATTCAAGAGGTTACTTGTTATCTTATTAGCTAAAAAAGTCCCATGGTTTCTGTTCATATCCTTTATTTATAAAAAGTTTACCTTGATTCAAAAAACTTACCTCAGTATTACAGACACTAATTCTTCTTTGTATTTGTGCTCATTAGCAGGCCACTGTCCTTGTGGTGTTTAATGATGCTGAAGGGAAGGGAAGATGCATGAATTGAATGCAGGTGTCTGTAGGATCCTGGCATACCTCAGCTATGACAGCCTCTTAGGTGCTTCATAGAAATAAACCATTCATTTGTAACTCAATTGGGATTCTTTCAAATTTTGAAATCTATATTTATTAGCTCAAAATTATGGTCTGTTAAAGCACAGGAGTCCAAGTTATGGAGCTGTGATGATAATGAGGTCAACTTATTAATTTAGATTCTTCATGTACCAGCTGATATTAGTCAATGTAAGGCACATCCAATCAAAAGATCATGCTCACCTAAAAGTACTAAAATAGCCGGGCGCCAGTGGCTCACGCCTGTAATCCTAGCTACTCAGGAGGCTGAGATCTGAGGATCATGGTTCAAAGCCAGCCCAGGCAGGAAAGTCCATGAGCCTCTTATCTCTAAAAAGCCACTAGAAAACTGGAATTGATGCTGTGGCTCAAGCCGTGGAGCGCTCACCTTGAGCTGAAGAGCACAGTGAAAACTTCTAAGCCCAGAATTCAAGCCCAATGACATACAAAAAAGAAGTGCTACAATAAATTTATTGTTATAGTCATGTGGATTAGTTCTATAAAAGATGAACAAAAAACGAAAGCTTCAATTTTAGTCAGTTTTTAGAGTTACACAATTGAAAAATTGAGAAGTGAAGTACATGGTCAACAAGATCATGTTTTGTGTGTGAAAATGTGCACTAAGACCATCAAACACTAGCTGCTCACTTACTTAACCATTATGCCTTTAAAATATCTTTATATTTATTATACAAGGAACAATCAAGTTGCTCTATTTGTGACACACATGACAAAATTTTCTTGTCAGGAATATCCTTTTATGAAATGTAACTTCAAGTTAATTGTTCCTTTGCTTATATTACATACATTCTTCAAGTCAACCTGCTGTAAAGTTGATGGTGTTGATTTTGAAGAAGTGCAGACACTCAAAAGTATGCATTAATGAAGTTGTCTTAGGCCAGCATTCACCTGGTGATCTATGTTATTGGATTCCTGATGACCTCAATTTAGCTTCTTGTGGAGAAAACGACCGATAATTTTGGTCAATAATTTGGCATTTTTTCACTTATTCTGTAGAGTTTTTACCACTTGTGAGGCAAAATTAGGGCAATAGTATATGATTAGCACAGCAAAAGTACTATTATGTGAACGTCCAAGTGAATTGAGAATGAGTGTTCGCAGACGGGATAGAGTCAGCATGTGTCACTATGAAGATGTTAGGAATAAGCCCATGAAACATTGAGAATCAGGACCTTTATATGCCAAAAGCACACCATATGAATTATTCCAACTTTGTTCGAGTTATGCACACCAATGAATGAATGTCAATAGTGTAAAACAGGTACTCTGGGGGATTGAGTACCAGGGGAGAAAGAGATGATGAATAGAGAAGTTAAAGTAGGGTGAATAATAGGGACTTTATATGTGTGTACTATATATACAGGTATGAAAATAGATAATGAAAATGGTTAAAATTGTTTTCAAAAGAGGGGAGGGGAAATGAGAGAATATAACAGAGGTAATAAATTTGATAAGGGTACATTACCCATATATATGGAAATACCACTCTGAAATCTCCTTGTAGAGTTGATGGGGGCTAATTTAATAAAGTAAAATAAATAAGTATAAATAATACATGTAATGTATATTGACAGGATAATAATCGATATTAATGAGTTGATTATAATTCCTATTATAATTGTATATTAATAATATCATTTTATATATCATATAATTAATTGATATTAATTAAAGTTGTAATGTATTATACACTTAATATATATTAAAATGCCATTTATGTGTTTTTAACAAGATAATTCCCACTGATTTCTCAGTAGTACAACATCCACAGCTGTTTCCCATAATAAAGCCTATTGCTCAAAACTACAGTTATATAAGTATGATTTTCTCCATATGTTTTTTTAAACTTAGCCAATCTAGTCCTTATATATTAATTTATTTATTTATGTTTTGGTCGTCCTGGGGCTGCACTTGTCCCTGGGTGCTGTTCCTGAGCTCTTCAGTACAAGGTGAGCACTCTACCACTTGAGCCACAGCGCCACTTCAGTTTTTCTAGTGGTTAATTGGAGATCAGAGCTCATACAGCCGTCCTGCCTGAGCTAGATTTGAAACATGGTCCTCAGATCTCAGCATGGCATGAGCTACTGATACCTGGCATTTTGATTATATGTTTACTTATTATTTTAATTGTATTTTATATTCTGTTGTTTCTCTTTCTGATTCTTTTTTTTCTTTTCAAGCATTGTTGCCTTCTCCTTTGTTTCCCCTTACAATCCCTTCCCAAAACCTCTTCCCCTCCACCAAAGTTTTAAAGTTCATTTTTTGATATAATATCTTGTACATCTCATTGTTGCAATGGGTCCATGTGTATCCTTATTTAAACAATTTGTTGTTTCCCTTCCCCTCCACAAATTATACCAACATCAAATACAGTGAAAACAGGGGTTATACCATGGGGGGGGGGGGAGACATACAAAGCAAGAAGGATTGCCTGGATCATAGGGGAGCTCTATGTGGAGTCTTTTGAGGAACCTCCATACTGTTTTCCAAAGTGGTTGAACAAGGTTACACTCCCATCTACAATGCACTAGGGTTCCCTTCTGTGCATTTTCCCTCCAGCATGTGTTGTTATTAGAGTTCTTGATTATAGCCATTCCAATTGGGGTGAGGTGGTATCTCAATGTTGTTTTGATTTGCATTTCTTTTATGGCTAGGGATGTTGAGCATTTCTTCATGGGTCTGTTGTCCATTCTTTTTTCCTATTCAGAGAAGTTTCTCTTTAAGTCTTTAGCCCACTTATTTATTGGTCAGTTGTTTCTTTGAGGATTTGTTGTTGAGAGATTTAATATTGAGTTCCAGGTATATTTTAGATATGAGACCCTTGTCTGTTGTATGGCTAGTAAAGATCTTCTCCCAATCTGTGGGCTTTCTATTGATCTTGCTTGCTATGTCCTTTGCCATGCAGAAGCTCTGCAATTTCATGCAATCCCATTTGTCCAACCTTTCTTTGATTTGTTGTGTTTCTGGGCATCTATTAAGAAAATTTCAGCCTGTGCCAAGGAGACCTAGGGTTCTCCTGTTCCTTCCTGTAATGTTTTCAGAGTGTCTGCTTTATTGCAAGGTCTTTGATCCATTTGGAGTTGATTCTGGTGCAGGGTGATATATAAGGTTCTGGCTTTAGTTTTCTACAAGTGATTAACCAGTTTTGCCAGCACCATTTACTGAAGAGGCTGTCTTTCTTCCAATTTTTTTCAGCTCCCTTATTGGAATTAGATAGGTATTGGTCTGTGGGTTCATTTCTTTGTTTTCAATTCTTTTCCATTGGTCCTGAGATCTGTTCTTCTGCCAGTTCCAAGCTATTTTGATTTCTGTAGCTTTGTAGCATCATCTTATGTGTTTAAATGTACATACCTATTGAGCTATTGTGATCCTCGGCTAGAACTATCCTAGATCTATACTAATAACTAGTACATATGAGGGAAACCATGGAGCCTGTGTTTCTTAGGGTTTGGCTTTCTTGGTCTAATTTTTCCACGTTTCCATAACCTTATGAATGAGGTAATGCCATTCTTTCTGGTGGAAGCATGGAACTCATTGCGTGTATATACCACATTTTCTTGATGCATTCATCTACTGTGGGGCATCTAGGCTTTATATTAGAGTGTTTCTTCATAGCAGTGCGGTACATTTTCATATCTGGTTATATGTCCCTGTGGTTATTGAACGTAGGAATGCTAAACCATAACCCTTATCTGGCACACACATGGGGCCAGAAGAAAGTAGCCTCAATTTGAGATGTGTTCCTGCCTCTGACTCTCCAGGTTCTGAGTTTACAGATGTTTACCATTACATTCAGCTAAATCTTGATTTACTGCTGGCTTTTGCCATCTTAAAATTGCTATAACTACTGACTTGCTACATTTTAAATGCTTTAGGATTTTGTGCTTCCCCCCCACCCCCATTGGCTGTTTTTCAGTACTATGCTTGAATTCAGAGCTTCTTACATTTTAAGCATTTGAGGCTGTAAATCCACTCCTTTTTGCTCTAGCCCTTCTTCAGAGAACATATTGCTTTTCCAGCGCTGCCTTAGGCCAATATTTTACTTTTTTTGTTTCCTAACTGACTGAGATGACTACATAGATTATTTATATTCATTTATTTTCTGTAAATATTTGTAGTTCTTTAGATTGAATTCAGGGCATTATTCTGTCTGTATGTTTTACCATTATTCCACCATTTTTGAATCCTATCATCTATAGTCTAAGAAACAAACAAATACAACACGCTTTCAGGAAAATAATATTAAGAAAATAATACTAAGGTTTTTTTGCAGGAGAACTTTAATATTACACATTGTAATTATTCTGTGATGTTTATCACAAGACATTTCCATAAAACTCCTGTGGATGCATATAAAGGAATGTAAGTAGCATATGTACCTGCCCTCTCATTTTCATTGCAGCACTATTATATATATATGTACATATACATATATATATATAATAGACTAAGACTCTGTGCCCATCAACGAATAAATGTAAAAAGAAACCATAGTATGCCTATGTAACAGACTGTTTTCAACCATAAATAACATCGAAACATGTATTTGCAAAAAAAAATAGAGCTGGAGATTAGTATATTAAATGAAATAAAGCAGTTCTTAAAAGTCAAGTAGTGCCTGTTTTTGCTCATATATGAAATATATATACTATAAACATGATTTATTATACACACATATACATAAGTGAAAGGCAGATTGCTGGGACAAAAAGGCAAGGGAAGACGTAAAGGGTAAGGTAACGAAGTTTAAATTATTGGGAAAAATCTAAGCAGTAAGTAATAGTTAATACATTTAAGAAAAGAGCAATCACAAAGGTTACTTGAGTATTTTATCCGATAATCTCAAGGGCCACCAAGTTATGTCAGGAAGTGTAGGTAACTCAAATCTCTGGTAATAAACTATATCGATGTTGATTATTTTATTCTTGTCTTATTTTCACTGATTTTAAAATTACACTTAACACATGTCAGTTAGTGACTCACAGAAGAAAGCAATAAGTTAGCCCCATTCAATACTTAGGAATATTCTAATTCTTTCTGTGGCCTCTGTTTTTCCAACCTAATCTGCTTTTAGCTGTGAAATTGTCATTGAAAGTGACTTTGTTTAGCACATACTATTAAACTTTTATGTTTATCCATAATTTTTAAAAATGGAGTTCAAACAATGACCATGCAGTTTTTACATTTGAGGAAATTATCTGAAGCAAAAATTAAGATTTTATTTGACCCTGTATTTGCATATTTCTCTACTCCTAAATATAGCTATGCTTGGATCTTCCATTATTGAGCATTTATGATGAGATTGATTAAAAAGTGAAAATAAAACATCAGAAGATTAATAATCTATCAAGTAAAATTTGATAACATAAGAAATGATTGATTAGTTATGCTCATGCTAAGTATAAAAAATCAGTTGGGATACAGTAATAAAAAAAACAGTAGGTGATTTGTCCTCAGGAAAGCTTATGCTTGTGGTAAATTTTGCTACCTTCCAGACATTAATGTATGTTTTAGCTTTTTGCTTATTATTATGTACTGCTTTAATTTCCTATACGTAATTGGCACACAAATCAGGAAATACTGAGTGTATACAGACTGATGAGTTTAAGATAAGTTATGACCACAGATTTATGGCCCAAATCTCAGCTATTCACATACCAATCACCTTCACCAATTCCCTCTCACTTTATTATTTTGCCTTTGTAATAAAAATAAGATCTATATTTTAGCAAATATGAGT